AGAGGTTCTCAACCTAGGGTCCCAGGACCCCCAGGGGTCTGCGAGAGGTATCTTGGGGGGATCCTCAAAAGATTTCACTAAATTGTTAATTTGGTTTTCATTTTTCAAAATTCATGGGGAACAATGAACTTGTAAAACAAACATAAAAAAATTAATAAAAATATATATTCCCATGGCATTTAGGGGTTGAAATGACAATAAATTATATTTTAAAACAGCAAGGGGTTTATGAGGGGATCCCTGTAATTTTTGCGCCCCTGTGAGGGGTCCTCAGACAAACTTGAAGACCCCTGGTGATCCGAACCTCACCTTGTCCAGCGTGCTCCTCAGTGCGTTCTTGTCCTTCTCCAGCCTCACCGCCTGCCTCTCCGCATCTTTCTTCTCCGTCTCCAGCATGGCGACGGCCCTCTGCAGGCCGCGCAGCCGCTCCTCCACGGCGGCCCGCTCCATCTGGGCGGACTGAACGCTGCGCTGCGCCTCCACGAGACTCGCCGAGCGCTGACGCAGKGCCTGWCGGAAGGAAAGGAATTGCCTGTTTTTACCCTTGTTCTCCCGCAGAACCTCGTATTTTCTTGTTTTTGTGTCGTGCATAAGAACAAAGCCTCAGCGACCTCCTGAGAGGCGCTGAGCTCCGACTCCAGTTCCTCRCGCCGCTGCTCGCTCTGGCTCAGCTCAGTCTGCAGGTCCTGCATGCGCTCGGTGAGAGCCGCCAAGCTCCTCTTCGTCTCTGCCAATGCTGCTCGAGCTTCATCCGTTTGTTCCTAAACAGAACGAGGTAATCATCGCACGCACGCACACACATGGAACTTAATTATTCCTCTGACCCACACACACCTGCAGCAGCCTTCGGTCCTGTTCAGACGAGCTCAGCGCCTTCTGCAGGGTGAGCATACGAGTCTGCGTGCCGCCGTGGGAGGCCGTCACCTCCTGCAGGGTCTGACTCAGAGACACGGCCTTCTCTCTGACGGCAGATTCTCCTTCCTGACATCGGAGCAGAGCCTGGTTCAGCCGGTCCACCTCTCTCTGCAGCACCGAAACACGAGCATCGCCCTCAGCAACCTGGAGTTCACAGGAAACAGAGTTATCTCTTAATCCGAGGTTTGCAGTTTCTAATCAGGCTGAGTCAAAGTGCACCTGTTTGAGCAGAGCGTCGTGACGCTCCTGAGAAGCCCGGCTCTCAGCCTCCCTGTCYCCCAGACTCAGTTTGAGCCTCTGCAGCTCCCCCTCCAGGCTGCGCCTCCCCAGCTCCACCCTGGTGGCCCGAGCTTCGGCCGCCTCCAGCGCCTCCCGCAGGCGCTTCCTTTCTGCGTCCAGCCGCACCTCAGCCGCACGCTGCTTGTTCAGCTGATCCTGCGGAGAGGCATCACCGTAATGTGGCTTTTCAACAACCGAGTGGACCGTTTACTCAACAGAGGRGAGGGTTTTACAGGTAATACCTGAGGTGAGGTTTAGGAAAGGGCTAAACACATTATATTATATATATACAAAATATTTATTTGTTTGTTTAAAATAGGACAACTTCAAGGATAATTTCCCTTTTRTGACAAATTTGGTTAAATTTGGTCCAGTGTCAAAAATATCACCTTGAGCACAGCAGTACTAACTTATAAACTCATAAATACTTTGTTTATTCACTCATATATTCATTCAACCAAAAAAAAATCTCTATACAATAAAAAAAACAATTTATAAATGAAATTAAAGGAAGCAGAGGGAAGAAAATTTCTCATAACATCTGCCCGTTTTTCCCCCTAGAAAAAAAAAATAATAACAACACAAGTATTTTACAGACTTAAACTTTGAAAGAGAAACAGCATCAGGTCATCAGTTTATGTCCATACTACCTTTTTCAACATCTTTAAAACCCTTCAAAATTGTCATAAATCTTTAATTTACCTTTTGTTCTGGTTTTGCCTTTTTAAACTCCTTTATAATAATTTCAGCTTCCTTCGGCTTCTATTTGGCTGATCTTAGAATTTTTCTGCCTTTTTTTTGCTATTCAACTAATTTTTTTTGTGCTTATCTAAGCTTCTTTCTGCTATTTGAAGCTTTTTATTCTTCTTTCAGTTGTATTTTAAGCTGTTTTCTGTGTTTTTAGCTACTTTTTAGCTAACGGGTGCTTTCATCTTTTTGTGATAATTTGAGCTTCGTACTGCTTAATTCAGAAAATGTGCTCATTCTGTTTCGTTGTTAAGCTAATTTTTCTTTACCTATTTTGAGGCTAGTTTCAGGTTTTTTACTTATTCAGCAAAAATCTTTCAGCGTCAAGAATTCACAATGCATTTTCGTAGGAAAAGCAAATACTCTAGTTGATTTTACWTCTAATCAAGCTTAGTTAACAAAGCAATCACTAAAATTTCATCAGATTTACAGATATCAAGCTGAGGTTTGGTGTGGTAGTTTTTTTAAACACATACTCTGAGTACTAACATATATCTGGCAAACTCTTAATGTTATTTACTAAGTTTGACCAAAACAATTATAACTGCACTTATCATAAGAAGARATTAATCTGATGGGTTGTTTGCAAACCTTCATAATATGCTCGGTCTCTAATATGAATAAAGCTTGAGGTATATTTAGAGCCTGGGCCAGACGGGAACCTGGCATTAAAACCAGACATATGGAGCCCTGATACACGGCACCACAGGTGGTGTATCTCTCTGTGTGTGTTGGGTTTTTGTTGTTATTACAGTCCCCTCCAGATTAAATTGATCATTGTGCCATCTGGTCACTGCTGTGTGTGAGAACACAAAGACGTGCACAGAAGTGAGCGACCCTACCTGAGTGTGCTTCTTATCGCTCTCTGAGGTCTGCAGGGATCGCTCTAAGCTCCTCACCCTGTCGGCGAGGGCTCTCCGCTCCCTGTCCCCCCTCCTCACCCCCTCCTCCTGCTGCTGCAGCAGGATCTGGGTGGTGGTCAGACGCTCATCCAGTCCGCGCTTCCCTGCATCCACACACACACTTAACAAACGAGCTTCAGTTTCAGTTCGGATAACTATCTTTATATCTAGGTTTAGACCTTCTTGGATTTCCTGCAAGGTGGTCTGTAGCTGAGATAGGCGACTCTGAGCAGAGTCTCGTTCCCCCTTCAGCTCCTCCAGCTCCCTCTGCAGAACCCCCAGCTGGCATCGAGCATCATCCTGCAAAAAAAAAGAAAAGAAAGAAAATGTTACGAAACTAAGAACACGCTCCTGAAATGACTGTGTGTGGTGCAGGTCTGTTACCCTGTCCCTCTGAGCGTCCCGCAGCTCCTGCAGGAAGTCCCTGAGGCCGCTCCGCAGCGAGTCGGAGTCCAGCTCCGGGTGAGGAAGAGGAAGCGGCGTGCCGCCTCGTTCAGGAGACGCAGCTCCAGAGCCTAAGGTGTTGTCAGGGGTGCTCCCTCGGAACTCTGTTCAGTTCAGATTTACAGTTGAAACTATTTGCTTGTTTACAGTTTATGCCAAACATTTGGCAACTTTTAGAAAAATAATACTGTTTTTACACAATGATTATTGATTTAAAGGGATGTACAATTAGTTGTAACATTAGACTTTCTTTGATAAACATATATTTTAACTGTAAAATAAAGACTGTAAAAATACTGTAGGCTGTTTAGTTTTGTAAATTTTTAAAGATATATTTTAACACGGACAGAGCCATTTTATTTACACACAAAGCATTCTGGGTAAATGATGACGTGCGGTGTGAGCGAGCTATATCCACCCTGAAGGTTAATCTTGGACAATATCTGACGATCGACTCTTTTAAATGAAACCAGAGAGCGTTGACAGAGAGGAGAAGGTAGAAATGACTCAGCCTGGAACTGAAAATATGGATGGAGGACAACAGAGCTGCTTCATGGAAGAYGAACCTCAGCTTAMCCTGTTAGCCTTCGTGCTAGCGCTGACGCTATATTGCCTTATACTGTATGTATTAGCTCAGCACTAGCACAAAAAACAAGCTAAACTGTTGTCCTCCATCCATATTTTCAGTTCCAGGCTGAGTCATTTCTACCTTCTCCTCTCTGTCAACGCTCTCTGGTTTCATTTAAAAGAGTCGATCATCAGATATTGTCCAAGATTAACCTTCAGGGTGGATGTAGCTCGCTAGCAGCCTCGCACCGATGACCTATCCTCGTCATCATTTACCCAGAATGCTTTGTGTGTAAATAAAATGGACTCGTCCGTATAATATATTTTTAAACTTTTAGTTTAAAAATGATAAAAACTGAACATCCTACAGTATTTTTATAGTCTTTATTTAATAAATATATATTTTAACTGTAAAATAAAGTCTAATATTTCAACTAATCATGGATRCCTTTAAGCTTTATTCATTTATAAATTGTCTCATAGATCTCAATGACTTGTTCATAAGAGAACATAAAGCTGAATTTTGACCTTTTGGAGGCGTCAGTGAGGACCGCAGTGGCGAGCTGCTGTGGTGGCGCGACACGCCAACCAGTGACGTGGAGCTCCCTCCCGGGCTCCGCCCCCTGCACCCTCTGCCGCTTGCCCCGATTCCCAGTGTTCGTGTCAGCGCAGACTGCAGGCTGCCGAGGCGGAACTCCAGGTCCCTCTTGGCAGCCTCAGCTCGGGTCAGCTCCGCCTCGGTGGCAGCCAGTCGACCCTGCGCCTCGCTCAGCTGCAGGTCGGACTGGGCGGCACCATCTTGGGCCGAGCGGGCGCGCAGCGACAGGTTCTTGGCTTCGTCCTGGAGCTTCTTCTCGCAGCCTCGCAGGTCCTGCAGCTGCGCAGTKAGCTCCTTCTCACAGCTGCGCCAGCCCGCCTCCGACTCCATCAGACGTTTCTGCGTCACAGAAAGCTTTGGAGAAAAGAAAACGTCTGACTCTGAAGACTAGAACAGGGTTCCTACAGTTTAAAGCAAGTTAAATTTAAGACTTTTTAATGCCAAGTAGATAGACCAGTTGTTTTTATCCATATCTAACTGCTTTTATATCAAACGTAGCAGAAACATTGTGAGCAGTCAGTTTTAAACTTAATTTAATTTGAGGAAATCCTCTAACGACCCAAATTTTGGAATTTTAGGACCCACAGTGGGGTCTTAACCCCAATTTGCTGTAGATGAAACATTAAAGTGCCTGTGACATCAAGTTTTTGTAAGAAAAGTGAATGTAGTTTTGGAAAGACAATATTAACATATTATAAAATAAATTTCACATTGCTCAGATGGACAGTTGTTGAGATGTTTGTATGCGAAATAACAGGAAGTGATGTCAAAGGGGAATGTCTGCATGTGATTATTTAAAAAAATTTTACCAATTATTTTAATGTTTGAGATGAATTACAATCATCCTGTTTATGAAGTGTTAACATTTTTAAGACTAAAGGTTGATTTAAGACATTTTAAGGCTAATTAAGGCCTCATTTTTGGATTGATGAATTCAATGCCTTTTAAGACTTTTTAAGGACCCTGTAAAAGTCTAACGYTCTATAAGTTAGATTTGTACCTCTTTCTTCAGCGAGTCTCTGGCTGCTTCAGCTTCAGTGAGCTTCTGCTTGAGGATAAAAACTTCCTTCATCCTCTCCTCCTCCCTCTGCTCCTCCAGTGACAGACGGGTCTGCAGCTCTGTCACCTCACTGCTCCTCTGCTCCTTCTCTCCATCCAGGATTTTCAGCTGAAAAACAAGTAGAAACGACGGCCCCGTCACTGAAACTGCACCTGGGATGTCCAGTTTATCAATCCAACTGGGAGCAAACATTCAAAGCAAACTTCGCCACCTGTCTGCGGAGCTCCTGCAGCTCCCTGCGAGCCTCGAGGCGTGACCGCTCGACCTCTCGCAGGCAGCTCCGCAGCTCCGTCACCTCCTTCTGAGAGGACGAGAAGTTCTCCTCCAGTACAGCCAGCTTCTGCTGCGTCTCCTCGCACAGCCGCTTCACGCTAACAACACAAAGCACGTGAGGTTACAATGAAACCCTTCAACTCTGAACGTCTGCCGGATCAGCTTCGTTTACCTGATTCTCTCAGTTTCTGCGCTGCGCAGAGCTTCCCTCAGCTGAGCATTTGATTGGCTGAGAGCGTCTCTCTCCCTGGTGACGTCACTGAGGCTACGACGCAGATCCGAGCCCTCCCTCCTGCAGGTTTCAGACGAGTCCTGGGCCTGGCTCCGACGACGTTCGGCCTCCAGCAAGTCCCGCCTCAGGAGGTCCTGACTCTCCTCAGCAGCTGAGAGAGAAGCTCTGCACTGCTCCAGCTGCAGGACAAACAGTCAGGTTTGGGTTTTTGGTRGTGCTCACGCAGAAGCCACGTTTTAACGTTCGATTTTGAAGAATTACACAAAACTTTTATGTTGCATTTACCTCTTTGTGAGCAACGTCGGCACGAGATCGAAGATCGGTGCAAGTTTCCCGTAAACTCTGGAGTTCCCTCTGGTGAGCAGAAGCTGCGTCGTCCAGCTGAGACTGGAGCTCCAGCAGCTGGGAGCTCAGAGCACCAACCCTGATCTGAAAATAAAACCAAAACAAAAAGATAAATTCAGCTTTTCTTCCCTCCAAACCAGCAGTAAAAGACGATTTCGGGCACCTGTTCCTGCTCTTTGTAAAGAGCAGCTTCTCTGGCCGTCCGCTCGGCCTCCAGGGTCACAGCCGACAGCTCGTCCTGCAGACTGGACACTCTGTCAGACAAAACCGCCTTCTCCACCTCCTTCAGAGACAGGGCCTACGACGAGAGAGAAAACAACTTTAACACTGAGAGTTATGACCTCAGGGTCTGGAAGCCCTCTGACTCGGACGGGACCTGCTGTTTCTCCGTCTCAGCCTTCAGCAAACACTGATCTCGGTCGTGCTGCAGAGTCTTCAGCTCCTCCTCCAGCTCCTCTCTTTCCCTCTTCGCTCTGTGGAGCTGCTCCTCCGTCTCCTGCCTGAGCGTCCTCAGAGCCGCCTCCTGCTCCGTCCGCAAAGCGTGGCACACGGCTTCCTGTGCAGCCGAGCAAAGAACCGCTTCAGCCAAACGCAGGTTTTAAGAAGCAGAAGCAGCTTCAGGAAGCGGCGAGCACCTTCTCAGACAGCAGCCTCTCCATCTCCTCCTGGTGCTCGGAGATGGTCTTCTGGAAAGCCTGCTGGGCCTCCAGCTGCGCAGCGTTCAGGGCCTGAAGCAGGGCCTGCTTGTCCCTGTCAGCCTGAGCCGCTGCCGCCTCCACCTCTGAGCGAACGCGCTTCAGCTCAGCTGCAAACAGAGCCAGCTCCACCGTTTTAGTTTTCCCCCTCTGGAAAGGAACAAACCGTTTCACGTTGCGTTCTGCTCACCTGCAGCCGTCTCACAGCGGACGCTGAGGTTAAGGTTCTCCATCTCCAGCTGCTCCCGGCGGGACTCCACCTGAGCGAGCTGCTGCTGCACGTCAAACACGCTGGTCTCCAAGGACTCCCGCTCGGACCTTAATTAATCCATTATTATATTGTTTCTCAAAGTCACACCTTCTATGTTTAAGTTTGTCGAAGTTGGGGTCAAAAATGGAGGAAAAAAAAGTCTTGCTTTTTTTAACGAAACAAAAAAAATCAATCCGTGTATCTTTAAAATAAAGCTTAGGTGCTGCATTTGTCATTTAAAGTACCTGTGACATGAATTTTTAAGTAAACATGAATGCATTTATGGAAAGATAACATTGATAACATATTGCTAAACAAATTTCACGTTGCTGAGATGAACAGTTGTTGAGATATTTGCATGTGAAGAAACAGGAAGTGATGTCAAAAAGGAATGTCAGCAAGTAAAATAAGCATCGTTACAAAAGCTAACAACACAGACTGTAGAGAAGAATCTGATGTTTCTTCAGATTATTTTTAGTCGCTATCAAAGAGAGACGAAGAGTTAAAGTTTAAATAATTTTGTTTTAATAAACAGAGACCAGCGAGTTTATTTTATTAGTGGGTTCCCCTTTGATGTCACATCCTGTTTCACTTTTGCTAAGCCAAATTTAAAAGAAAATAGGCCAGTTATGAGACAAAATAGGTAAAATCATGTATATTAGGCCAAGTTTCTTAAATTAAATACATTTTCTTTGACTTTTTGTATTTAATGGACATGCATGTCACAGGTACTTTGAGGACAAAGTACTAAAGGATGTAGAGCAGTTGGTATAACTATATATAAAGATGCTTTCTTTGGCTTTTTGCATTTGAAGGATAGGCATGTCACAGGCACTTTAAACAGTGCAGTTTTTCTTTTCGTGACAAAACCGAAGGAGAAAAATTGGTAATTAAATTACTTTTACCCATTAAAATGAAAGAATGTGATGAGAGATTTAAATGTTTTGTTCCTCCACTGAACTTCCTGTTCAATAAAAACTGAAAGAACCACCTGATTGTTTCACCCTGAGCACCACACACACCTGAAAGCAGCCAGCTCCTCCGACAGTGCCGTGTTTTCTCTCTCRGACGCCGTCAGCTGAACCAGCAGCGCCGCTTTGTCCCGGGACAGTTCAGCCCGATTGCGGCTGGCCTCCTCCAGGGCCGCCTCGCTCCTCTGACCCTCTCCTCGAGCCAGACTCAACTCCGAGTCTAGAGAGGTCACCTCGCCGCAAAGCTGAGGACAAACCCCGAAGCAGAAATCTACTAGTTGCACGAAGAACTGTTTGTGGACTTGATAAAAACACGTCCAAAGCTGAAAGATGATCTGTACCTGAGTGATCCTCTCCTGCAGCTTCAGCCTCTCGGCTCGGAGACCTTGCAGCTCCGCCTCCAGCCCCGTCCGGCTCAGCTCGGCGTCCTGCACCGACTGCTGCAGTGCCACGCGAGCCGACTCCAGCTCCAGCCGGTCCTGCTCCAACCGGACCAGCTCATCCCTGATGGTCAGCTTCTCCTGCTCCACCTCGCGTTTCTGAGCGTGCAGGAGGGACTTCTCCTCCTCCAGCTTCGAAACAGAAAGACACATTAAAGTGCCTGTGACATCAAATGTTTGTGACAGATGTGAATGTGTTTTTGGAAAGAGAACATTGATAACATATCGCAAAGCAAATTTAACTCTGTTGGGATGGACAGTTGTTGAGATATTTGCATGTGAAGAAACAGGAAGTGATGTCAAAGGGGAATGTCTGCATGTGAACAGAGCGATGCTACAATAATTAGAGAAGAATCTGATGTTTCTTTAGATTATTTTGAGTCACTATCAGAGTTGGAGAAGAGTTTAAATAAGATTGTTTCAATAAACAAAGACTAGAGAGTTTCTTTTCTCAAAGAGTTCCCCTTTGATGTCACTTCCTGTTTCACTTTGCTGAGACAAATTCAAGAGAAAATATGCCAGTTATGAGGCAAAATGGGTAAAATCACATGTATTATGCAAATTTTCTTCAATATAAATATGTTTTCTTTGACTTTTTGTATTTGAAGGATAAGCATGTCACAGACCCTTTAAAGACCACYCAGCTGCAAAGCTGTGGGATTAAAGAGGCAGATCTCGGCAGACATGTCAGATCACCTGGAGGATGTAGGTGTTGAGAGCAGCCTTGTCCTGAGCCAGGGCCTCGTTCATGTTGCCCATCTTTGACAGAGAGTCTCTGAGAGCCACCTCCTCCGACTGCAGCCTGCTGAGCTGCAGCGACAGCTCTTTGTTGCTACTTTCAGCCTGACGGAGAAAGTCAGGATCAGATAAAACAAGCAGACAGAACCCAGGAGTTAAACCACAAACAAGCTGGTTCTGTTTCTCACCCGAGCCAGCGACAGGGACAGCTGGACCTTCTCCTGCTCCAGCAGCTGCCTCTCCACCTCCCCCTGCTGAAGCGTCTCCCTCGCTGCAGACAACGCTCCACGCTGAGCCGAGGCTCGACTCTCGCTCTGATCCCACTGCTTCTGACTGCAACAAACAGCACGGAACACAGATCAGGAGGGGAATACACGAGAAGTGGCATTTTTCAGTTTTTTTCTTTGGACTTCGGCTGCTTTTAATGAATTCTTTGTTCAGTTCTGGTACCTGAACATGACAGCATAGGGAAAAGAGAACAAGTGGAGGACATAAGAGGAAGAAATGAATCCTAAAAGAATAAAAAACAGCAGATAAAAAGCATCAAATTTATTAGCTGGGATGTTACAAGCTAGATACTGAATACCTTAGCTAGTTGGTGGCTAAAAATCCAATTTAAAGTAGATTAATTTTGTTTTATATTGACACAACACATGCTCATCTTGTGAGTTCTGAAGCTTTTTTTTGATATCTGAATGTGTTTACCAGAAAATATTCCTCAGAAAACAAGCAAAAAAAAAAAAAAAAGCAATGGACATAAAAATAACAAGACTTGAAAAATCTTTTGAAAAAGTTGATTATAAGCACTTTAAAAGAAGCAAAATAAACAGAAATAAGAGACAAATCAAGACTTTTGCACATAATTTATATGTAATGATTACGTAGATGAATAATCTTGATACTGATAAAATGTACATGATCAAAATGATGATAAATGCAACTATATGATACGACGTAGAATGTATCGGCCTAAGCTGGGAAGGACCTGATGCTGTTTTCGCTTTTACTTCAAAGTTTGAGTCTGTAAATGATTGTTATTATTTGATTTTTTTTTTTTTGTAAAAAAAGAGGTACAGTAGGTACAGTCTCTTTGCTCCTTTTCATTGACTGTTTTATTTGTTTTTTATTGTATAAATTATTTTTGTTTAAATGATGAAATAAACTTCAACTCAAAGCATATAAATAAAACTTTGTCACTTTTCATACCTGCTAAAAGTTAATACACCTGCTAATGGGAGCTTATTTTTAAGGTTTTATGTTCAATTCAACGTTTTATTTATTCTGATCTTATAATTTGATAACAAAACCTTCATAGTCTAAAGAAGCAGCATGTGTCTGTAAATGTTCAGTTTAGTTTTGTCTCATGTGGGATGTGCTGAGAGCTCAGACCCGTAGGGTTTGGTGTCAGCACTGCTTCAATTCAATCAGCATCACTTAGCCTCCGTACATCCTCTGAGCCTCGGCCTTCGCTCGCTCCCTCTCCTGAACGGCGGCCTCCTTCTCCTCTCGCTCACGGTGCCGCTCCCGCTGAGCCGATGCCACAGCCAGCAGCAGCTTCTCCCGCTCCATCTGCAGGATCTGCGCGCTGCTCTCCGCCGCCTGAACCGAGTTCTCCAGGTTCGCCTTCTCACTGCAGAGAGGAAACCATGACCTTAGGATWAAAAAAAACACACAACAGGACGCAGCAACAGAGATAACTCACCTGAGTAACACCTCCTTCTCCTGCTTCAGACGCTCCCTCTCCTTCTGAGCAGCCTCCTGCTCCCTCTGAGCCGCCTCCTTTTCCCGCTGCAGTGTTTGGTTTTGCCGCTCGGCGTCTCTTTTGGCCAAATCGGACTCGGAGAGCTGCTTTCGGAGCTGCTGCGCTGAAGACTGAACGGAGAGCAGACGGCCTCGGACATCCTAAAAAACATTAAACCAGGAGGAGAATGTTGTGTTATTCTGGGGGAGGAACCTAAGAAGTGGTATTTTTTTTGTCACTAAAGGATAAAATGCAGGCAGTAATGTAACCAGTGATGAATGGTCTAAATGGGAAAGTGTTGGTGTTTACAATAAAAATGTTAAAATACCTAATAAACACAAATTAAACTATTGTATCACACTTTTTGAATTTTACAACAAAACTGGCACCAAAAATTCTGAAGATCCCAGTCTMTCCAAAGAGCTAACTGTTCATGTCTTTCATGATGCAGAATGATTGACGGGTGTCTTGTCCCGCCCCCTCAGTTTGTTGCTCATTGGGCCTAATTTTGTTTAGCCCACACTCACCTGTTTTCTTTCATGTCTTTAAAGGTAAAACTGGAAGTGAAGAGGTTGGGGACAGATAGACCAAGTTATATTCAAATCTAGCAAAAGGAAAAACGACAAAACTAAAGTTTTTCTGTGACCTGGTTTCAAATCTCCCTTTGTTTGGATGCTTCCATTGTTGGAATCCAATCTGAGCCTTTTTTATTATATATCTGTCAGCCCACCCTACAAATATCACCACCAGTCCCGATTAATAACTCTGTGTGTGTGTGTGTATAGGGGCGTTGTCTGTTAGCAAAATATCTCAAAAACCACCATACAGATTTTATTTAAACTCTCAGAAAGTAATCACTGGATGCACGACTATGACTGATAAACTTCTGGAGACCACATTTTTCAAGATGGCTGCCACAGCTAATCAAACACAGCAAACACTAAAATAGCTCTATTTCTGTCAGTTTTAGAGAAATTGAGCTAGAAATTGGTGTGGTAGTAGTGAGGAGTCCTGCCCAACATTTACTCTGAGTGCTAACAACCTGCACAAGATTTTGCTATAGAAAGTTGGATCGGGGATCTCATTATTTTAGTTTTGTCTAAAAAGGCTAGAACTCCATCATCTCTCAACAGAAGATGAGCTTAGTTTAGGACAAATATATTTATTCATCATTTTTTCAGTGGCTATTTTATTTCTGAAGCTAATAAAACTGTCATAACTGTAAAAGCCAAACGTTGAGCTTTAAAGCATTTTTTTCCTGTATTTTTATTGTGTTTTGAACCTTTAATGTTTGTTTCCTCACTGAGGCTTCACAAAGCCACACGTCACCTGCAGCTGGAGCATCCTGTTCTTGACCGCCGAGCGGAGAGCGGACAGGGCCGCATCGGGGAGAGGAGACGGCGAGGAGCACTGAAGAGGGGACGGCAGTTTCCGCAGAGACGTGGAGCAGCGAGGGGAGGGGTCCCGGATCAGCGCCAGCAGCGGGGCCGCAGAGTCGTCCCGATCGGCTTCTGACGACGACTCCCCATCTGACAGGACCGTCTGTGGAGCAGAACGACCGTGAGGTGCTTTGGGGAAGACGGGAGGAGTCCGCTGAGTGCGGCGGGACTCGTACCTGAGCGATGTCCCGCAGGGTGTCCAGCAGGACCTCAGAGTGAGCTCGAATCAGCTGCAGGTCCGTCTCATCACTGCTGCTCTGCTCCTGAGGGCAAAGATGTAAGAAAATGAGGATATAACGAGGCGGGTTAGAAAAACCGAGCAGAAGCAGGGTTCCTACAGTTTAAAGCAAGTTAATTTTAAGACTTTTTAAAACTTTTTAATGCCAAGTGAAATTAAATTTAAGACCAATTTCATAATAAACACAAATGACAAAAAATAAATAAAAACTGGCAGAAACTCATGAGTATTTTTGGTTGAAGTATTCAAACATTGCTAATAGACCAATTGTTTTTATACATATCTAACAATAGCAGAAACATTCTTAGCAGTCAGTTTTAAACTTTATTTAATTTCAGGAAATCCTCTAACGACCCAAAATTTGGAGTTTTAGGACCCACAGTGGGGTCTTAACCCCAATTTGCTGTAGATGAAACCTTAAAGTGTGACATCAAGTTTTTTAAAGAAAAATGAATGCATTTTTTGGAAAGACAATATTAACATATTATAAAACAAATTTCACATTGCTCAGATGGATAGTTGAGATATTTGTATGTGAAATAACAGGAAGTGATGTCAAAGGGGAATGTCTGCATTTGATAATTTAAAAAATACTTTTTACCAATTATTTTGATGAATTACAATCATCCTATTTACAATGTGTTAACATTTTTAAGACTTCTGACNAAGCAAATTTAACTCTGTTGGGATGGACAGTTGTTGAGATATTTGCATGTGAAGAAACAGGAAGTGATGTCAAAGGGGAATGTCTGCATGTGAACGTTTAAAAAATGTTACCAATTATTTTAATATTTGAGATGAATTACAATCATCCTATTTACAATGTGTTAACATTTTTAAGACTTCTGACAGATTGATTTAAGACATTTTAAGGCTAATTAAGGCCTTATTTTTGATTAAATCAATGCCTTTTAAGACATTTTAAGGATCTGCAGGAACCCTGAGAAGGAAACTGTCTCACCTCCAGCCTCCTCTTCAGAGAAACAACTTCCTCATCTCTTTCTGCGATTTGGACCTTTAGTCGCTCGCAGTCTCCTGTTGAATCGGACAACCTGACGGGTTCAACGGGTTTTGTTACAGTGAGGAATATTACAAAAAATATTTAAAATTTCCAGCCTTGGTCTGATGATAAATAATCTCAGCTGCTCAGAAACATTAAGCTCCTCTGTGCTCGTGTGCATCATAACTCACTGACCTGAGGCTCAGCTCGCTCCTCTCTGCATCCAGCCTGCTCTGGAAGTTCATCATCTCCACCACCCGGTCTCGAAGCTGCTGCTCGAGCTGAACCCTCAGGGCCTTTTCCCGCTCCAGAGCGGCGCCTCCCGCCCGCCCATCCAGAGAAGCAGACAGGCCGGCGCAGGACGTCTGAGCCGAGTGGGACAGCCGGGCCAGGTCGTTACGCATGTCCGACAAGTCCCTGGGACCGGAGAGGCGCAGGTGATGACGCGACGACGAGCATATTTTTTTTTGAACCATGGATCCGTCTTTACCTTTCCGTAGCGCTCTTCATCTCACCGACGTGRCTCCTGAACCCGACCACCTGGCGCCACAGGATCAGCAGCCGACTGTGCTCGCTGCTGAAGTAGCTGTGAAAAGACTGAGGCAAAAATACATCAAAAATGGATTCCTCTAAAGCCGCGGCATCAAACTCATTTTCACCGAGGCCCGTCTGAGCTGCATGGTGGCCCTCAAAGGGTCAGTTATAATTAACTCTGATATTTCATGTTTGACTTTGACTAAACACAAAAACGTCTCATTGCTTCGGCTGAGCACCGCTAACAATCAATAACAGAGCTCTATGTGGTATTTCCTGCGTAGAAACAGTGTTTTAACACATCCTCTTATAAACACTGAAAAGTACCACCAGTACGACTGACTAAATGTTAAAATAATTACAGAAATCCTATTAAAAGTATAGTTAAGAGTTTTTCTCACTGTTAAGCTGTGGTGAGTAGAATTAGCTCCTACTTTCCCACAGGGAATTCCCACTTGAGGGGCATTCCAGTTTAGATTTTTGACTTGTACATGGGAAATTCCCACTTTACCTAATTTCCCTCTGGGATCAATAAAGTATTTTTGAATTGAATTGAATTGAATTCCCAGTACAACTGGGCTGTAGCAAAAGCAGCCAGTGAAAACGCAGCTAAATGGAGATTTTACAGAGTGAATTTCGTGAGTTACTTTCAAAGTACTTTTTTTTTATTTAGCTTTCTTTATTCTTGTCACCCTCTCCTGTATTGAGCTGCAGTAATGTGCAAATTTCCCCACTGTGGGATCAATAAAGTTTTATCTGATCTTATCTTAAACCCTGTGCACCTCCACCTAGTGGTGGGGTGTCATCATTTTGWGGGTAAAATAATCATCACGCATTATGAGAGATGTAGTTTGTGGTCAATGCTGGCTGGCAGCTTATTTTGAGACATTAATACAGGGTTATTCAACTAAACTGCTCATCAAGCCACAGTTACTTAAAAACAGCTCGGGGCTAGACAAGTGTTATCTTTCACCTTTTAAATGTGTTTATTTTGTTACATTTAATCATAAGTGTAAAATTTACATTTGATTTAAATTAGAAAAAGAAAAAATATTGTTTTCATTGGCAGGACAGACGTCACCCACGGGCCTCATGTGGCCCGCGAGCCTCGAGTTTGAAACTTGTGCTCGAAAAGGTGTCTCACTGTCCGAGGAGCTTTACTCACCTCCTCTTCTCTCCTCCAGTCCGACTCCTTCTGTTCCAGCTCCTCTCTGGCTTTCGTCCAGTCAGCAGTGAGCCTGCGGATGTCCCGGCTGAGAGCCTCGTTGGCCAAACCGGCCTGCTCCAGCTGCTCTCGCAGCATCGCGTTCACCGCAGACAAGCTGCTGCTCCTAAAAACAAACAAAACCTTTGTTTCGTTTTGCATTTTTGAAACAGAGATCATACCTGCTCGTTCAACCACTCGGCCCTCATCATTTTTTTAAATAAAAAGTTTCCTAAAGTAGCATTCATTGAAGGAATGCATGTCAAGAGCAGATGATGAGGCACCTCTGCTGTTCTTCCTCCAGATGTATTAAAGCCTCCTCCAGGTTGCTGCTCACTTCCTCTGCATGACGACCGTTTGATGTTTCACTGCCACCCTAAAAAAAAAGGTTTATCTCACAGTAATGTCTGGCACAAATTTATATAAATATAAAGCTTTTATTCTGAAAAATCTAAATTAAAAGCCACCTACAGCCACACTGTGTTTCTCCAGCTGGGCAGATTTCTCCTGCAGCGTCTGCTCCAGATCCCCACATCTCTTTTTGTACTGAAGCACCTGAAGCAGCAGCAAAAAATAAATACATTTTTTTAAAAAAAGAAAAACTATCACCACCCAACAACAACGCCTCGCCGCGCCCCGCCCCTACTGGACCCACATGGCTCGGTACCTTGGCCTGAAGCTTCTGCACGAGCTGCGCCTGCCTCTGCTGGCCCTCCTGGTAGGCGGTGAGTTTGCGCTTGTAGGCGGCCTGTTCCTCGTCCAGCCGGCGGCGCAGGTCCACGTTCTGCTGAGCCAGGCTGCGGGACTCAGCTGGATCCAGGTCACCCTCTCCGGTTTCAAACCGCAGCGCCTGCTCCAGCTGAAAACAAACAGGAAACAACATTTTAAAATCTGAGCGGCTCTGACACTTCACATGTGAATGAAATCCACCTTTTCAACTTTTGTGCTGCACTTTTTACATTTTTCCTGAAAAAATAAGAAAAACAATCAATATTTAACTCTCATCAGACATAACAAATCCAATAATAATCTTTGTTTTCATAAATTGATTGCTAATAAAAGCATAAAATTAAAGAAAAAATGTGACCCATCACATCGAAACAAGGATTACATACAAAAGTGGAATGTGGAGAAGTGGGCAGATATAGGGTTTTGATTTGAACATGTGCAAAAATTGTATTTTGTCAAAAATATAATGAATGAATGCCTTATTATTGTATCATTTAATTGAACTGTCTGAAATATAATCCTAAAAAAATTTTTTGAAGCAGTTTTTTGAGCAGTAGCAACAAAAKAAAACTGATTTTGAGGGAAAATGCTTTAAAATTTAGAATTTTCCCCCTGTGAGTTAGCAATGCTTTTGTTTCTTTCCAAGTGGGAAATCTTAATATACAATTACTATTTGAGGTTTCCTCTTTATATTGACATAAAAAATTGCTCAATAAAATTACATGAAATTAGGATTCAGACCAAACTGTAATGTATTATTGTAACCAAAAAAACAAATTAGGTCTCTGGATAAGCTTATGATATCAGAATGATCCAGGTATCAAAATGTAGCTTTTAAAGCCAGGAATCTGAAAATGTAATTAGGTCATTTTGACCAAATTTGACTTAATCCTCATCTTGATTCGATGGATCACAAATGGGATTAACTCTAAAAAGGTAATCTGTTTTCCTTCTGAGAGTTTCGTTCAACTTTGAGTCATGAAATATTTTGCTAACAGACAGGGCAGATGAGTACAGAGAAAATCACATGATCGCCGCGCCTATCATGGCAAAAAATAAATAAGATTAACTTTTCCTGAAATCCTTTCTGAAGGTTGTGAATTATGGGATTAATGTGATTAGACAACCAGCTTTAAAACAAGACAACCAGATTTAAAAGGTTTAATTTCTTCTGCAGGGTCCAGGTTTGCTTTTGGGTGCTGCTTGGTGTGGTTGCCTTGATAACCATAAAACAAATGCTTAGTTGGGGTGGCGGTGTGTGGGTGTGTGCGGGGTGGGGGGCACATGTCCCACCCACCACATCCCTCCTCTCCAGCTGAAGCCCCTGTTTACAGTCACCAGGGGCGACTAACGCCATGGCGACAGTCCACTTCAGCCCACATTCCAGCCCCCATCACCTGGGAAACTATTAGAGAAAGAAACAAAGACCACCCCCCCACAACTCACACACACACACACACACACGTCAGAGGCATGGGAGCCCCTCACCCTCTCGCTGATGGCTCCGTACTTGATGGCGAGCTCGTCCCGGTCCGCACGGCTGTGCGCCAGCAGGTCCTCCAGCCGGGCCAGCTCCCCCTGCAGCACCTGGTTCTCGTCCTGGAGGGACAGAACCGAGGAGGACATGGCCCCGGCTGCATGTGGAAACCAGAAACACCGATCAGAACAACAACAACAAAACGATCAGAAGTCGAGAGTGAAGAGGACGCTCACAGCTGTCGTTGAGGTTCTTCGTGACGATCTCTCGCACTCGCGCCGGCAGACGTGCAGGGGGGGCGTCAGGTGAGGGGCCTCGGACCGTCAGCCTCTTCTCCTCAGACAGGACGCTCTCCTCCAGCCGCTGACGAAGACATGTTATAATTGACATTAGACGGTTTAAATCTCATCGACACATAGGACACTTAGAGATGATCMAAGTGACGCCGTGGCCTTCAGAGCCACACCAGCTGTAACGACAAACACAACACGCGAGGTGCAGTCGAGCATCCATCACAAACACGACTCAGCACTTTCTGAGCCCCTCACCTGGATCACAGACTCCAGCTTGTTGGAGTCACTGTCTGAGGTCTCCTCGGAGCTCATGGCAGCTATTTTTAAAACCCCTCCGGGAAAATAGGATTAGCTCAGAGAAAATAAAATGTCTTCACGAGCTAAAGCATAGCCTCTGTGTGTTTTTATTTATCTCCTCGTCCCAGCAGGTGGTAAAAAGAAACAACCTAAATATGTGTTGCTTCTTATAGCAGAGGACAAGGAAAAGTTTCTGGCTGCAGAAGAGCTGAGCGCGTCCGTCTTGTCGTCTCCTCCAGGACACTCGGACTGAGATTGAGGACAGCAGGATTAGCAGGTTTTAAAGAGCAGCCCTCCTCCTCCTCCTCCTCCTCCTCCTCCTCTTCCTCCTCTAACACTGATTTCACACTAACAAAAAAACCTTCACAAATCACTGCTTTTCAGCTGCACAACAAAGAGAATCTGAAACCAGAAATACAGGAAACTGTGATTTCAAATGATTATTTATGTTTGCTTTTATTGTAAAGAACAAGAAAATAATCTTATGAGACATGAGGAGAAATAACAAGAAGAAGGATTAATAAAAAGGTCCTGGGCAAATAATTACTATAGAAATTCCAACATTACATGAAATAAAATTGTTTTGTTGTTATCAGAAATAAATCACCTTTAATCCTAGAAATAACTCTGGCTGATAAAAGTCTCAGAAGTTCAGAGACAAAGTGTTTAAGTGAAGTGAAATGTTTTTTTTTTATTTTTTATTATTTCTTGTTTATTTTGTATCGCTGAAATAAAAAGAAGAAAAAACTTTACTGTGCCATTGTCTTTTTATCTGTTAGCAAAATATCTCATAAATCAATGAACTTATAAAACTCAGACTTTTTGAATCAACATCAACTTATAATTTTTTTTTTGTGCAGTGCCCTGAGACGGCCTTTGTTGTGAAGTGGCGCTGTATAAATAAACTGAACTGAATTGAACTACTTGGATGGCATCCACAGCTAAACAACCTCAGCCAACAACAGCTAAAACTACGACTGATGACGGAGCTAAAGTTTGGTGTGGTATTAGCTGAGCGTCATTCACAATACAGACTCTGAGACACTTTATAAAACACTGAGGGTTAGATCAAACCTGTACACTTAAGCTGTCTTTACATTTATTATTATTCTTTTTTTTTGTTTTTCCTAAATCTAACGGCACATTCCATAAACACAGTTTAATAAACGCATATTATTTATTAAACCAACATATCCTGTTGTTTGGTGGTTAAAACTAGCAGCTTTAGACCAGCTCTGTTTTCTAAATTGAGGAAATTTTCAAGCATTAAACAGAATAGAAGTCTGTGCTCAACAGCACAAAAGGATCATTGTGTCAACTACAAACCCTCCCATATATCCACTCGTTTATATGCTAATGATGACATTAGGTCCAGGAGAGAAACCCAGACATTCCTTTGCAGCTCCTCCTGAAGGATCCTAAGCCCAGAGAGGATTATAATTCCTGGTTCTCCTGCCTCTAATCTCCTCAGCTGACTCCTTTCCATGCAGAGGAGCAACGACTCCACTCTAAACTCCACCTCACCCTATGAAGTTAAGTTTAGCTGCTTATAATATTTATATATATAAAAAGAATTGTTCTAAAGGCAAACTGAGAAGAAAATGTTCTTAACCTAAACTATTTTTACTAAAGTTATAATAAAAAAGGTTATGATTGTGACTGAAGCACGTAAAAAAAACTAAACAAGTGATAATAAATCAGATGTGTAAGGTTGTACAGTGAACATAAAGGCGTTACTAAATGAACAAAAAATTGAATTTGTGCCGAAAATATCCCAATTAATGAGATTTTGTCACGTTTAGTTATGATGTCGCGTCTGCYGCGCCCCCTGCTGGTCGGTTGGATAACTGACATTTTATAAAGACGTGAGAGGTTTTTGACATTTATTTTTCTTTCATTCATTTAACTTTTTTCTGTTACATTTCCCAGCCCCTTCAGTTATATATGTTTTAGGTCAAATGAGCGGTTTCCTCTGCAGTTTAAAAACTTTAGATTTTTCAAATATATTGTTGCAGAAAAAGGAGGAAGAGATGATGACGACTCATCTCCAACATCCTCTTTATCCTAAAAGCAACAGAAGCATTGAGCGAGAGTTTGATCTCTTCAACATCAAAAAGACAAATATTTACACTCATTTAGTTTAATTAATTAGAAACGAGGCTGAGAATCAGCTTCAGAGCTAACGATAAAAAAATCTCGTGCATCTTAGATCAGTGTCGTGTTTTTGCTGCAGAAAAGAATCAGCATTTCTGTGTGAAAATCAGCCTCACCTCGAGTTATGTCTCTGCAGAGGGTTCATCTGGTCTCCAGCTCCGTTTAACCCGTGAAAAATGTTTATTTAGCTCATAAAAAGCAGAACCGAGGAGGGGCTGCAGCCGCCTTGTTCTGAAATCTGCTCCATGCTTTTTCCGGGGAGGGACTTCCAGTTCACTCGCGCGCGCGCGCACGCACGCACGCACGCACACACACACACACACCTTCTCTGTATGAAGGATCAGCCACACTACTTTAATTATTTTATCACTCAGGAAAGTCTGGATACAAAGTGGGCTCCCACATCCACTAATTTAAACATAATTCTGATTAATTTTATTTTAATAATCTGATCCAGATTTTTTCAGGAATGAATAATCAAAACATCAATAACATTAAAAAAAATTGGACGCACGTTAAATGAAATAAGTTTAAATTTGTGTGACAATCATCTAAATCCATTAAAAAATGGTGCTGAGGGTTCATGGTGATCATGATTGACCGCAGCCAGCGGTTTCTCTCTCGGCCAGCTTAAAAAAGACAAACACTCTTTGGGTCGACAATTGTGACTGATGTTGGCAAAGAGAGTCACAGCACAAGATGCAGTGCAAAACAAAACAAACAAATAAAAAAGTGAAAATACTGATTTTTGCAGTGATTTGAAAAAGATCCATAAAGTCACCATCTAGTGATGTTGATTTTACAATCTTCCTGCTCAACCATTGAATCTGGTGTGTTGGAAGCAGGATTAGGGGTAATAATATCCACATATAGTGCAATTTATTTTTTTCTAACTCAATATCGATCCAGAAAATCCTGATTCAGTTCTTGTGTACCTCTGATAATCAAAATAAAACTGATATCAAAGCATTTAAAGCAACGCAGAATCAAATTGTGACCCAAAGAATTGAAATCAAATTGAATTGTGATGTTCACAACACTCAGGCCTATGCAGGATAGTGGCCCTACAGGACCAGGATTGGACACCCCTGACCAAGACCAAGGTCCCAGAGTCTGTGTCTACAGTGAAACCACCACAGTCTGAGGGCATCAACAGAAGACAAACACCTTCAAACTGCCCACGAGGGCAAACCAAATACCTTCTAGAGAAACTTTTACAGTCAGTGAAGACAAGAGCATAAAAATAAAACAGCAACTCAAAGAAATATATAGTTTATTTACACAAAGCTTAGGTCTTTTTCAGGAAGGCACTTCAGATTAAAGGGGGG